CCCCGGAACATGGCCCTCATCCAGTCGCAGCCGGCGATGAGCAGCGGCTTGTGCGCCGGCACCGCGCCGTCATCCACGCGGAACACCACGTCTGGGGACAGGGGACAGCTCAGGGGRGGACAGCCAGCACTCAGACACCCCTGCACGGGGACAGCCACCCCTCGGCCACCACAAAACAGGGGTGGCCACCCCTCGAATGCCACTGTAACGGGCACAAGCACCCCTTGGCCACCACAGCCCAGAATGGTCACTGCAGGTTCCCCAGCAGCCCCCACCATCCAGACCCCAAAAACCTCAGCAGCATAAGGGAAATCAGGGTCACCGTAGCCCCGTGACCACCCCGGCACAAGGAGGGGACATCCCCACAGCCCCCCGTCCCCATACCCGCAAAGACGCCCTTGGCCAGGCACTCCTTGACGCGGTTGGCGCGGCGCACGTGGAAGGCCTTGGTGATCTCCTGGTTCATGAAGCTCTCCTGGTTGAGCTCGTTGGCCACCATCATGCGCAGGTCGAACACCTCCAGCAGCTCGGCCACGGCGCCCACCTGGCGCAGGTCGCCGTGGGGCCGCTCCAGCTTGCCCGTGTACAAATACTCCAGCACGGCGCGCAGCGGCTCCGGCCGCACGCCCCGGTCCATGGCCACCACCGCCATCCGCCGCTCCCGSCCCGCCACCGGGTCGGCCACCGGCTCCCAGCGCAGGCTCAGGAAGCCACGGCCCCACGAGGACAGGTCACGGGCCCTGCTGTCCCCCTCGCTGACACCCTCGGGCGGCTCCTCCAGCGTGAAGAGGTCGTAGAAGCGGGAGCAGGCGGTGGCCAGGTAGACGCGGTGAGCGAAGACGCGGTGGCCGCCCTGCAGCTGGAAGACGACGTCGGCGCAGAGCGGGGCCTGGAACAGCGCGGCCGGGCCGCCCCCCAGGCCGGGGGGAGCGTCGGGCACCTGGATGAGGGGTGGAGGGGGCTTGGGGGGCAGGAAGGGCGCCTGCAGCAGCGGGCGCTGCATCTTGCGCAGGTGCGACTTCCAGAACTGCAGGTGGCGGCGGGACACGAGCGCGGCGCGGATGGCGTTGTCGAACACGTCCTTGACCCCGAACTGGGCCACCACGCTGGTCTCGTAGTACGGCACCCCCAGCTCCTGGGCCACCTCGTGCCCCCGCTCCGGYGGAAGGATGTCCGAGGGTTTGATGGGCCTGGGGGGCATGGACAGGGCAGGGGGTGGGGGTTGGGCTGAGGTGGTTGTACCCAGGAATCCCAGGGGGTGCCTGAGAGCCCTGAAGGGGACAGGGGTGGATTGGGGGGCTGGGAGGGGCTGGGTAGCATGTCTAGGGCACCCCCTTCTCATTCCAAGGGACATTAAGAGATTGCATTCCCATCCCAGGGGATGCTGGGAAGGATCTTAAGGGTGGCTCCTCATTATCCCACATGGGCCAGGGGGAACCTGGAGGGGAAACCCCAACCCAGGATTGCTGAGGGGGGCAGAGGCTCTACCCCACAGAGAACCCCAACCCGGGGGAACTCCATCCTATGGGGTCGGGAGGGGTGGGATGACACACCCTAACCTGGTGGTGGCAAAACTGGGGGTGCCAACGGCAGCAGAGGGAAGAGTCCCCATTCTTATGGGACCAGGGAGAGTCCACCCCCACAGTGGCACACTTGGGGTGTCCCTGTCCCTTTGGGGCTGGGGGGTGACTCTTGGGGGGCTCACTTGGCCAGCGGCCGGCGGGCGCGGTTGACRGCGTCCAGGTCRGCGTAGCGCAGGTCRAGCTGGCAGCCCACGAGCACGATGGGGGTGCGGGGGCAGAAGTGCTTGATTTCGGGGTACCACATGGTCTTCACGTGCCGCAGCGAGTTGGGGTTGGCCAGCGAGAAGCAGAGCACCACCACGTCCGACCTGGGGGCGGCAGCGGGAGGGGAGGGCAGCACTGTCCTGGTGCCACCCACTGTCACCCCGCGGCGCCCAAGTCCCAGCCCCGTCCCAGGACACTGTCACTGTCCCCGGCCTGGGACACTCCAGGAGCCTCAGGATCCCCCGAGAGCCCCCCAGCCATGGGAGCCCCACGATCYCCAGAAACCCCACAGCCACAGGGACCCCACAGATCCCTGGGAGCCTTACAATCCCTGGAACCCCACGACAGGGTTAGGAACAGGGGCAGGGGAAGGGACACAGAGGCTTTGGGTCACCATTACCGGCCAAGTCACAGCTGCCCCAGCTTGGGTGGCACCGTGGTGGTCCCAGCCCCCGAACACCCACGGAGGGTCACACGGGGTGTGACCGGGTGGGTGCCAGCCCCCAGCAGCAGGGACAGACCACGCCCGCAGTCCCCAGCCCGGCCCCTCCGCCCAGCGTGGCCATCCCAGCCCTGGCTCAGGGGGTGTAAGGTGCCAGCGGACATGGGGGGGTGCCAGCGGACATGGGGGGGTGCCAGGGGACATGGGGGGGTGCCAGGGGACACGGGAGTGTGCCAGGGGACACATGGTGGGTGCCAGCACCCCCAAGTTCCCGGAGCAGCCGCGTGGCCCCGGGCCCGGGTTGTTTTTAGTCCGGGACGGGACGGGACGTGACCGGGAGGCGCCGCTGGAGCCGGGCCCGTGTCCCAGACCAAGATAGCCGCCACCGGCCCCCCCGGGGCCCCCGGCCAGCCCCGGGGCCACCGCGGGCGATGGGCACCCGGCCCCCCCAGTCCCCCCAGCCCCGCGGGGCCCCGCCGTGCCGCCGGGAGATTAGAGGTGCCGCGGTGCTGGCGTGGGGCGGCGGCGATAAGAGCCCGGACGTGCCGGCGGCCACGGGGGCCGGCTGTTTACAACCGGGGGACCGGGGGAGGTCTGGGGGCCCCTCCTGCGGCCAGGCCAGCGCCCCCGGGGAAGGTTCCCGTACCACAACAGCCCCCCGGGAACCGCCCCCCACCACAGCTCCGGGGGGACCGGGGTCCCTGCTCGGGGTGGGGTGCAGTGTTGGGGTCAGGGTGCCCCCAAATATGTCCCTGGCTGGAGATGGACACAATCCCGGCCCTCCCCGAGGGTTTGGGGTGCCAGAGCTGCTCTCTGGGCGCTGGCAGCAGTCCAAGGGGCTCCTTTGGCTCTGCACGTCCCGGGATGGGCAGGGCTTGGGGTCGGGGTGCTGCTGGTGGGGGCTGGGCTTTGGGATGCAGTGCACGTCCCGGGATGGGCAGGGCTTGGGGTCGGGGTGCTGCTGGTGGGGGCTGGGCTTCCGGTGGGAGGAGTTGGGGTGCCGGTGGGGGTCTCGGGGGTGCCGGTGGAGGGGGTCAGGGTGATGGCGGTAGGGGAGGGGTGCCAGTGGCGGGTCGCGRTCCCACCTGCCATAGGCGAAGCGCCGGTCCTTGTGGTGGTCCCCGAAGGTGTCCCAGAGGCGCAGGGAGACGCTGACCTCGTCCACCACATCCCGGGAGCGCTCCAGCACCTGCCGGCACCGGGAATGGCACCGGGAATGGCACCGGGAATGGCACCATCACCGACCGCCCTACCCGGTACCGCCAGTACCACCCCGGCATACCCCCGCTACCTCCTCCCGGTTCCCCCCACGTTGTCCCTTCTGTTAGGGGATACCCCCGGGTGCTCGGTACCCCGCGGTGCTGCCCCCCAACCCCGGTGCCCCTCAGCGCTCGGCGATGCCCGGTGCCCGATGTCCCCCGGTAACCCCTCCCGCTGTCCCCGTCCCGGTGTCCGGCGGTGCCCGGCGCTGTCCCCCGCCCTCACCTCCTGGCAGACGCGGTACTGGTCGATGGCCCACACGGTGGGCACGTGCGTGGCCAGCAGCCGGTACTGGCTCAGCGTGGCGTTGCAGGCGCGGGCGCAGATCAGCCGCGTCTTGCCCACCGCGTTGTCCCCGACCACGACGCACTTGATGGTCTCGACGTTGGGCCGCTCGTAGTCCAGGTCGGGGTCCATGGGGGCGCGGGGGGGGCCCCCGGGCAGCGGAGCGGCCC